CGCCTCATAATTGTCTAACCATTTGGTTAAGTGTTGTTGTAGAAATTTTTATTAGGCTATTCACCCCCCCTCTAGCCATTAGGACCTTTCAGCGGTTCTAGGGAGGAAGGAGGAGAGAGAGGGCGCTGGCGGTTCTGGGGAGGGAGGAGGAGAGAGGGCGCGGGCGCGGCGTTAATTAAATTAGTTTTTTTTATTTGCCGAGTGTCCTAGATCTAGGCACCCAGTAAAGTTTTTTTCATTTTTTTTCTTCTCCTTCTTTCCCAGAAAAAGGTTTTATTTCTTTGCCGAGTGTAAAAAATAAAACACTCGGCAAACCCTCTATTTGCCGAGTGTTTTTTTTACACTCGACAAAACTCCTCTTTGCCGAGTGTTTTTTTTTGTCGAGTGTTTTTAGCGCAGCACTCGACAAAGAACTTATTCGCCAAGTGCCCGAAGAAATACACTCGGCAAACCTAAAAACACTCGGCAAATTTGACGTTTCCGATAGTGATGTTTGCGACGACTTAGGCCCTTTGGATCCATTGGCTGATAGTAGTTATCTAGCTAACATCATATAGCTAATATTAGCTGGCTAATAATTGACTAGTTATCTATTAATTGGCTAATAATTGCTCTCATCTATGATTGGACACTAATTTGGAATATTAAACATAGACTAATTAAAAAATTAATTTCACAGATGGAGACTAATTTGTGAGACGAATCTATTAAACCTAATTAGTTCATGATTTGACAATATGATGCTATAGTAAACATGTGCTAATGATGAATTAATTATGCTTAGTAGATTCGTCTCCTAAATTAGTTTCCACTCTGTGTAATTAGTTTTATAATTAACTCATATTTAGTCCTTCTAATTAGCATCCAAATATCCGATGTGACATAGAGTAAACTTTAGTTCCAGCATCCGAACATCCGATCAAGCACAAGCACGGGGTTCGCCAGCGGACTCGTTGTCTGCAATGCTCTTCATTCTAGTAATGGAGGTGCTTGGCCGGCTGTTTTGCGCAGCAAGAGAAGAGGGAGTCATCCGGTCATCAAATATATGCCGACGATGTCATCGTGTTCATTCACCTGGACGCGGCAGAGGCAGCAGCGGTCAAGGCGATCCTCGGGATCTTCGGTGATGCCTCTCTAGACTGAGAACAAACCTTGGCAAGTGCTCCATCACACCAATCTTCGCCGACGATGACATGTTACCGGAGTTACAACATATTATTGCTGCCAGTTAGCGGAGTTCCCCATCATATACTTGGGGCTGCCGCTAAGTACATAAAAGGAAGATACCCAAGAGCTGAGTACAAGCCACAGTGGAAGCCGTTGCAAAGAAACTGCCGGCTTGTCACGGGCCGCTCATGGCAAGGAGCGGGCGACTAGTATGGATAAAATCCGTCCTCGCGGCAGTGCCCATTTACTACATGCTCGCGGATGGGCTGCCGCCATGGGCGCGCCACGAGATCGACGCCATCTGCCGTCGGTTCCTCTGGGCTGGGAAGGATGAGTCGATTCGAGGAAAATGCATGGTTGCCTAGCCAACCATTTGTCGACCCAAGGAACTGGGAGGGCTCGGCATACCAGACCTTAAGCTCACAACCATCGCGCTACAACCTAAGTGGTTATGGCTCCAGCACACTCACGTGGAGCGAGCATGGTCGCAGCTGCCCATCAAGGCCTCCATAGAAGTACAGGCGTTCTTGAAGGCTTCTACCTTCACCATACTCGGCAACGGCAGGAGGACTTGCTTCTGGACAGGGAGGTATGGCTGCAAGGGCGTTCCATCCAGGACCTAGCACCGACCCTCTCCAGCATCGTGGATCATCGTTTCTTCCATTCGGCCACGGTAGCTGCAGCTCTGCTAAACCGAAGCTGGCTCAGGCACATCACTGGCGGGCTCATCGCACCCGCGATACAAGCGTATCTGGCTATTTGGGACCACATGCGAGACATTCACCTCAGCGACGCAGAAGACACCTTGATATGGAGATGGTCCGCGGACATGAAGTACTCTTCACGATCCGCGTACAGAGCGCTACACCTGGGCTCGCACCCACGCCTCGGTTGCAAGAGAATCTAGGAAACTTGGGCACCGCACCGTGTCAAGTGATTCCTCTGGCTTGCGGTGCGATGAAGGCATTGGACAGCAGACAGGCGATTGCGCCATGGGCTCGATGCTCCAAAACACTGCTGCCTGTGCGACCAAGAGCCGGAAACCATTGAGCATATCATAGACTCGTGCTCCTGCTCCAGACAAATTTGGTGGCACATCCTAACGGCAGTCGGTGCAGATGCTTCCCAGGTGGGCAGGGACAGCCTGCTGTCATGGTGGAATGCATGGCGTTCACGATAGACTGGAGACAACAGGAAAGGAGCGGACTCTCTCTTCGCGCTAGTGGCTTGGGAACTGTGGAAGGAGAGAAACATGAGATGCTTTCGTCAAGCCTCGTCCACGGTGCTGCAGATCCTTGCGCACATCAAGCACATCGCAGATCAATGGATCGACGCCGGTGCGGCGAAGTTACGTTGTCTCTTGTGTAGGTAATCGGCTTGTAACTAAGTTTGTTAGGAGGAGATAAGCTGTGTGTAAGATCATTTGCCCCTCGTTGGTGTAAAAATTCTATTTTTCGATTTTAATAATACAATGATGTATAAAGTTTTTACCTATTCCAGAAAAAGATTCGTTTTACCGAAGGCCGAAATATCAATTTCTCGTAGGCCGACTTTGAGCGGATAAAAGGCCAGCACCTGGACACCTGTCTCAGACTATTTCTCACAACATCACCCAATCAATTCCATGTTTAGGTAGCGCTACAGGCAATGGCTTCAATACCTATTTTTGGTCTTCTCCAACAACAGGATCCAAAAAAGAACCCTTTCTGCAAATGAGTATCCAAGAGAGAGGATACTCATATTTGAGTTGTACCTCTGCTGTAACCCAAAATGAGTCTCGTATATAGGTATTCTATTGGAGGCTAATACATTACCATCCACGAGCTATTTTGGATTTGGATCTCGGGTCATCCATCGGAGACAACCTGAGGGCTCTCGGGTGTCCCAATCTTGGTCGTTTTCGTGTCGATCTCCGTCACGGCGTCCAGCAGGGGGAGGCCGCTGGCCGTTCGGGAGGCGGGGAGGGCAGCGTTGCAGCGCAACGGGCACAGCACCGAGGCTGTAGGGCGCTGCGCAGGGGGCGGTGGTGCTTCGTTGTGGGCAGAACGCTGCTCAGGTATTTTTTTCCAAAAAAAAAGATTTGATTTTCTCTTTTTTGACAGCATAGAAAACCAGAGGTCGTTCATTGGTAGAACGAATTTGGCAATATCGTTTGTCCACTAGATGATTTCTTCAAATTTGGGACGGTTAGAATTTGGCAATGTCGTCGGTCCATTTGCAATTTCCGAAGTTAAATTCGTTTTGCAGGAAAACAATTTCTTCGAATTTCATCCTACGGTGGGACGATTTCTCCTAATTTTGGGTAATGGTAGGACGACTTCACAAAGTCGTTTTACTGGAAAACGATTATACAATATTTCTGTAATTTCACTGATCCATAGTATATTTTTGTAAATTCCATAAAAAATATGTTAAAAATAAAAATTTCTGTCTAGTGATGAAAACGGGATGTATATTTCTCAATATATATCTCCAATAGATATTCAAATACTAATAAATGGATAATCCATATATAAATCTATACACTTGTATATTCGAGGAATCAAGGGCCTGTTTGATATCATAGCCCAAGAGCCTGGCTGCGCCCGTGGGCTGCAACGCCCGTCTTTGATGTTCTGAGCCCAGCCGCAAGCCTGGCCCGTGCGGTGCAAAACTCACTCTCTCTCGTGGCTCTTAGAAAACGAAACTAAGGTCCGTTTTTTTCTGGTCCTGGCTGAGTTGAGCGTCAATGGACTCCACGCTGAGGATAGCGTTACCCTTTCTCACCCACCACCCCCTTTCACCGACAGCTCTTTCATCATTCCACGCCGCACGAGCGAGCGTACCGCTCGTCTTCGTCGCCCCCTTCCCCGGTTCTTCTTCATCCATGGCCGCAACGGAGGGGATTCGAGGGCCAGGTCACCTGCTTCTCGACAGAACTGGCCCGCGCCGCGCCACCTTGGCCAAAGCTCGCCCCTCGCCATGGCTAGGGCTGGAGCTCGCCCCACGCCGCCATGGCCGGAGCTCGCGCCCGTGCCGCCATTGTAACATTCCATGATTCCGTGTAATAGAAAAATCCCAACTTTTTAAAATTTTTGCTTGAATGTGTGTTGCATGTAAATGTTAAGTCAAACTTAAGTCAAATGTTTTCCCTTCCGGCCCCAAATTCAAAATCTGAGCTTCAAAACTTTTTACAATGAACTGCTTGTCATGAAGATAGATCACCTACGTGACAAGAGGAGTTTTCAAATAAAATGTTTTCGAGGAAAATTTAAACCTTGGTTGAATTCGAACCGCACTCGAATTCAACATGCAACCCGCATGCATGATTTATTATTTACTAAAACGAAAACCTAACTCTCTCTCATCTCCTTTAAATTGGGTTTAAGAATAATTGGTGCACCACATGTAGTATAGATGCATGTGACATTTGGTTCTTGTCTTGTTGTGCTTGGAGGTAGCCTCTTTCTAAAACCCTAGAGTTTAATAGGAAAGCCCTTCTCCTTGATCTCCTGGCCAAAGGGCCCTATCTAGCCCAAAGCCTGCGCCACCAGCTGCCTTACTCCTCCGGTTCAGCCCAACCCGGCGCCTCTCTCTTCTACCGGCCCAAGCCACCAAGAGGCCCAGCTCGTGCCCTTTCGGTCCAGCCCAGCGCGAGCACAGCAGCTGCCCCAGCTCCCTCCCATCTCACGAGCACGGCACGCAGGAACTCACGCACGCGGTACGCGCAGGGAATCGAAGCCACCGCTCTTGAATGGCAAGGATGGCCCGCTCGTCAGCTACAGCTGAGAAAGGAACCGCCTCCTCCCGTCTCTCGGACGCAAGCCAGCAACGCCGTACGCCGGGCCCGCCTGTCAGCCGAAGACGCCAATATTTCCGTTTCCTTCCGTCGCCTCCGTCAGGACAACGCCGTCTCCTCCTTCCTCACATCGAATCGCTCTCTCCTCTTTTCCGTCGCTCCTCCCCTGCCTTCCGTCCGCCAGCGGCCCAGCGCCGAGCCCCTGACAAAAGCACGGGCCCCGCCAAGTCGCGCCCCGCTCCGCAAATCGTGGACGAGCCCATGACTGCGCGGACCAGCGCCGCGACCCCTCTGGAGGCCTCCAGAAGCTTCCCGACCCCCTCACCTGCCCGTGCCACGGATGGTGGCCGCGTGTCTGCGAGCACGCGACCCCGACGATCTCCGCCATCCCCTGGACGCTCCCTGCCCTCGCGAACCCTAGCGCCGGGGCTATAAGAGCCAGGCCTAGCCGGCTAGCCCTTGCCCTTGCCATCTCCCTCCTGTCCGCCGCCACAGAGCCCTCCTTGCTCTCTGCCTCCTTCCCCAGTCCAAGGCCGCCATGGCCATGGTGCCCTGAGGCCGAGACAGTGCCGACCACGGCATCGCCACGGCGCACCAGCAAGCACCACGACCACGACCACGACCGCGACGCCAAGCCGATCCTGCTCCATGCCAACCCCGTCGCAGCCGTCCCAGCCCTGCCGTCGCGGATTCCCCGGTTACCCCACCCCTGCTCGCACGGGAGGCCACCTTCGTCGTCACCACGTTCAACGCTGCGGACGACCTGCGCTCGGCCTTCTTCGTCGGACCCCGCACCGAGACCTCCACCGCGCGTCTACATCGAGCCGTTCAGCCCCGACCTCTGGATCATCGCTGCGCACCACGACGGCGAGCCCGAACCGCACCAACGCTATCGTGAAGCCGCCGGTGAGCCCTTCCTTGCCAAAGCCCTCACCTTTTCCTTCCTTCGTTGTCGTCCTTGCCTGAGAACTGAGATCGGCCTTCGCGCCGTGATCTGTGCTTCGCAGAGGAGCCGCCCCTTCTCTGCTTCTGGGCGCAGCCGCCAGCCTCCGCGTCGTCACCCCGGCTAGCCACGACCACGTCTGTCCGCGCCCTCGGCAAGTCGCGTGCACCGGCTTCCTCGATCCGTCGCACTCAGTGGTGAGCCCATCCTCGCCAAAGGCGCCTCCTTTTTCCTTCACGACGTTGAGCTTCACCTTACCTGCCCGGTTTTTGACGCCGGCAGCAGCCCTCCTGCAGTCTTGCCTCGGCACTCGCCGCCACTTCGGGAACGCGAGCTGCAGAGCCAAGGGACTAATCGGCGACGCCCTGCCCCGCCTCCGGCGTTCTCCTTGCAACCCTGCAGCGGCCTCGTCGCCGTGCCACCACGTCGCGGCCCCGACATCGCTGCGTCAAGCCGTCTCAGCGTGGCCTCCTCCCGGCACCGCGCGCTCTGCGTCACCAAGATCGCCGGTGAGCTCCGTGTACCCAAGCTCCTCCCTTTTCTCGTCTTCTTCGTTGCCCACTTGCCGGCCTTCGTGCCGCCTACTCCCCTCATCAGTGTGCGCGCGGACGCGGTCACCGCGAACCCGCGTCGCAAGTCTGTTCGGGTGTTGCCAGCGCGCGTGCGCTCCACACCACACCATCGGGCCTCCGACCCCTCCGTCGCACTCACGGCCCTGACCACGGCCCGAGCACATGCACGCACAGGCGTTCTTCGCCATATCCGGCCCCAAGGCCTCGCCTTTCTCCGCCGTCCGCCGCGACCTCGGTCTGAAGCGCGCGCAGCACGGACGCCGTCGGGAGCCTGCAGCCCTGGCACGTTCTCGACCAAGCCTGGGTTTTTCCTTTGTACCCTGCTCGACCGGCCTTCGCGCGTCATCGTCGCCCCTCTGCTGTTGTATCCTCGCACCAACGCTCGCCTCCGCTGAAGCGCCGGCTTCGCGCCGCAGGCCTCCGGTGGATTCCGACGACCAAAAGGCTGAGCCTTTTTAGCCCATCCGGTCCCTAAGCCCTTCTCCTTTTTATCTGATTTTCAGAGCATCTTGCCAACTTCAAAAATTCACTGAATATTCATCCTTGCTCAAAAAAAAAAATGAAACCAGTTTCATAATTTTTCTAAAAACTTGATCTACCTCCTAGTGCAGTTCTTGAGTCTAGTTGAGTTAGGTTTTGTTGCGGTTTTATTGCTTCTTATTGGTGGCCGTTCTTGGTATTTTTCTTTGCGTAGTGACGATTCGAGCTTGGATGGATCCGGCGACGCACCCGAAGGTGATGGACCCTGTTGGTGGACAACCTCGACGGAGACTTATACCATTACTTCCTCGACATCGCAGGTGTCATGGTAGTACCTTATCTTAGAGGAACCTATTAGACATTGCAAGTAGAAATGCTAATGCTTTACTTTACTCATTTGCTAGTAGATGTGATGCATTCTATTGCCTGAGCCTTGATTGCCTTGATTGAAAACCCCTTCACCCTGACTACCCAGCTTCGTGCTCGCACTTATATATTGTCTATCTGCTTGCTTGCATTTACTTCCATCATTATTACATATATGCCTTGTTATGTGATGTGATGGTTGGTTGGTGATGTTATTGGTGGATCGGTGTTTGCCATGAGGCTTCCCCGTGAGATAGATGGTAGGTTGGCACGACGGGAGCGTTGAATCCCGTGTGGGTGGTGGTGATTGTGGAGTTATGTAGATATTCCTTGCCTTAACCTATTGGTGATATCGGCTGGAGTGAGATGATTTATCCTGGAGGGGTGCACTTGGTGCATGGAGTGCCTAGGATCTGGTTTTGATGTATATGATGGTTATGACGTGGCAGGCGTGTGGTGGTGGCTACCCATGAGAGGTGGGCCACATGATATTGGTCGAAGGTGCTTGCTCTGGCCAATTAAGGTCCGTCGTGGGTTGATGCCTGGGACACTGGACAATGTTAAACGTGCACGCCACAGACCCTATGGTCGTGGTGCTCACCTGAGCTGTGCTCCTCAGCAGAGCATGGTTGTACCAGCGCCTTGCCGGACCTGCGCCCGCGCCCCTGCCGTAGCTTGGCCTCACTCGCAGCCGGACCTACGCCGGGGCTCACCGGGTAGGGCCGCATGCCAGTGCTGCACCTGCACCGAACCGTGCTCGCACCGGGGCAGGACCGCTCTTTGGCCTGGGAGCTGCATCTGGCCGCGCGTGGGGCCGCTTCGCCGTATTAGTACCAAGGGCTGCCGTAGCAGCATCTGGATGTGCCAGGGGCCGCGAGGCAAGGGTCGTGCTGTTGGGGCTACGCTGCCGAGGCCGTGCCGCAGGAAGAGCCGTGCTGACAGGGCCACTGGTGGGAGGACGTGTGGTGGTGGCGCCTCATGCTCGCTTGCAAAACAGCCCCATGGGAGCGAAAGCTCATGCGGCCGGCCTTGGGGTAGAGGCGGTGTGGGGCGATGGAGCTCGCGTGGAGGGAGCTGCGACTGGTGAGGGACCTTGCGCGGCTGGTGAGAGGGCAGAGGACCGCAGCAGCGGTGAGGGAGCAGCTGCCGGTGAGGGGCGCCGCCATGCGAACCCGCGTGACTTCTTTCCTCGCGTCGGACGGGAATAGAAGGAAAAATGATCCGGTATCTTCCATAGCCAGTGCCAGGTGGGTAATTTTTTGCCACAAAAGCAGCTGAAAGCAGGGAGAGCTGCTTTTAGTTTTGTACTAGAGCAAAGCAGCTTTTTGGCCTAAAGCAACTGTGGCTTTTCACCCCTTTGTTGGCTTTTAACTTTTGCAAAAGCAAAAGTAGGTTGAAAAGCCCAACCAAATGGGGTCTTAGATTATAGGCAAGTCTGGCAATTCTGCACATGTTGCCAAATCTCTTGTTTCATCCTGGGCCAGAAGAATAATTGTTTGTTCTTAATGTAAGTGGCTGTAGCCCTAGAGTGACCCCTGACGTGGCTTGAGTGAAGAGCCGCCATAATCTTGTTCTGGAAAGAACGATTAGAGCACAACCACACTCAAGGGAGTCCGAACTTCAGAAAAGCAAATATCATGTCTCATTGCATTTCAATTTGCTATATTTGTGTTTGCCTCAATCTACTATGGGTTGTGCTTGTTTGTGTGCATGAATATATCATAACATAGCCCCTAGAAGGTCCCTGCAAAATTGGATTGAAGTTGGAATTGAAAAGTAGCAAGTTTCAGTTTTGGGGCTGCTCTGCACGTGCATATCGGACCAGTTCAGTTTGATATCCCAGAAACCTAATTCCTATATATTGTGTTTCAGGTGTTTAGCTCTAGGCTTGTTTAGCAATCTTTATATGCTTAGTGTACCACTCTAGAGGGGTTCATTATTCTAATTTGGGAATTGGAAATCCACACTAACGGTTTCCACATTTTAAATTGCAAATTTTTAGAAATGTTTATCAACCCCGTCCCTCTCTAGGAGACATCCTTGGTCCTTGCAAACCTAAGGAACTGCTTAATTATAAATGAGGAATGGGGCTCGCTTGTTGTCAACCGTGATGTTGTTGGAGAAAAAAAAATAGGAGGAGCCCTTAGGCTTGGAGCCCTAAAAGGGGGGGGGGGGCTTTTCAGTTTGGCAGCAGCGACTTAAAAGCCGTGTTGGGCTTTGACCGAGGAATCATTATCTTCCCGTTATTGTGTGCAAGGGGTGGTTTTTTGACGTTATTCTCAATGGGCACTTTCGTAGCGTTATTTCTAAAATATAAAATGTGATAAAACATAGATGACGCAGTAACCCTCAATGCATAGTTTCATTCTTTTCTTCCATATAGACATTTAGGGGGGTGTTTGGGACTGTTCCACAAACTCTGCTCTATAAACTTCATCATGGAGCAGCTCCATAAAAACCTGGAGTTTGTGGAGCACCCCTTTAGCTGCTCTCATAACTCTACCCTTTTTTCTCGAACATAGTGTGTGGAGTTAAAATCGTTTGGCTAAACAACGTGGAGTGGAGCTCAAAACGTGGAGCAGAGCAATCCCAAAACACCCCCTTAGTTCCATGACTCATTTAGAGTTGGAAACCGAGCCATGATAGTTTCATTTTCATGGAACTCACTTTTTCTTTCTCTTCTTAAAATCGTTGACATTCATTAAAAAATTTATGTGACAACCTATCAAATGTAGATGAAACTCCCATTGATATGGCCTAACAGCCGTTAATCTGACACAAGTTTGTTTGGCATGTTCAGCCATGCGGCAATGCCCGCATGACTGTAGTGGGCTCAAAAGCATGTTTGTCAACCTAGATATATGTGAGTATTTTTGCTTCGGTTGCAATGCACAAATATATTTATATTTATAGTATAAACAAACCTAGAAAATAAATAAAGTTTTATTTCTGATCAAATTATAATACTTTTATTTTTTAGCCAATAATTACAGCACATCTTCGAATAAATGTTTACCCAAGATGTATATAGTTAATTTTCTCATTACTGTGAAACAAAATGTCGCACACAAAATGACAAGGTATTGATTGAAGGTTATTTTATTCCTCATTGCCTTTTACATGCTCATATAAAATAGTGTCTGCAGTTTTGGTCTTTTGGTTGATAGTTCCAAGTTTATTCGTAATGCATAAGTGGTCCAGGACGGTTTAACATCGCGGGCGCCATACCTACAGTCAATTCAACGGGTGGCCGGCCTTGTTCAAGGAGACTACAATGACGGGGTACTTTGCCTTCGTTATCTCAAGATGCTTGGATACCATGGAGGCAAACACCACGAACAGCTCATCTAGTATAGCGTCACCAAAGTGCTCCACAATAAGCGGCTCCATTACTGCCCTTATGCTTTTGTTCGCCACATTTTCCCCACTGCTCTCGCAATCAGGCACCACATCACTGTCTGAATCGTCAAGGGGATCCCAGTTGGACTCGAAGAGATCGATGTGGTCGACGTTAAAGAGATTGTCCTCCTTAACCAAGGCCTTCACGTCATTAACTGATGGTGCGTAGTATGGCAGGTTAAAGGAGCTCAGTTTCTCCTTTTTGACGCGACCCTGCCATGAATGCACTGTTATGGTAGGTAGATGGTTTTGTATATTTCTAGATAGATTCCTTGTAATAGAAATCCTTTGAAAATAAATGACACATTATTTGATATCGATGAGAAGCAAGATTTAATTATCTACCTTTTGTACCAGTGACTGCAGAGATTTAGCAAGCAACTCCCACATGGTACCAACTTCTCCATGCATCAGCATTTCTCCACTCTTTCGGCCTAGAAATGTTAGCACCATACGGCCACCAAGAACAAGTTCTTTGTACCGCAATGCGAGGAACAACTTGAAGTCCTTTCTGAATTGTTCTTGGAACAATGTTACCACGGTCGGTGAAGTAGTCTTCCCAATGTAGATGTTCTCTTCATTCAGATGACTCCCGTTTGTGAGATCCTCAGGGACCTATTAGATGAATTATGAATACCAACATGCAGCATATACAATAGGAACATGATTAATGATAGAGACACACTTAATAAAATGCTGTCATTCAAAAATTCATATTACTTTGAATTAATTCAAAAACCCAAATATCATATTCTATAAGAATAGTTGCATTATTGTTTCATGGATTCAATAATTACAATAATGTCTTTGCGTTGGAGGTACAAACACATGCGTCGGCAACTCCCTTTGCTATGATTATACAATGTTTTAATAATAAAAGTTCAGTGGGGGGCAACCCCTCCTGCTTTCGTCAAGAAAAAAAAACTGCCTTTAATTTGCTATGGACCCCTTCGCCTGTCTTGCTTAGCCTGGGTTGACAAGAACATCGGAACAACCTATTTCGCAGGGAACAAGGAGCTTCATGGGACAAGCCCACCAAAGAAGAAAGGCGAAGCCTAGGAGTCTTGCATTGCATGAGTGGCCTTTTGACACGATGACCAAGATTCGCGGATGCGAAAGCCTGGACGAAGTATCAAAGGATCGATCGGGCGAAGGCGGACGTGAGAGAACAAATCACCGGCGGTGAAGCCCGACTTTGACTTGAGTGTAACGAAATGGACCGTGATGCCGCTCCTAGTGTAGGAATATGCTTGGCATCCGGAGTTGGTGTGGGGAATATTTAGGGTCTGCTAATTGTAAAAAGAGGCTCTTTAAATAGTATCCTCATGAATAAAGAGGCAGAGGATGATTTACTGTTTCTATACACCTTCTGCTTGCCTTCGCTCTTGTTAGTTTGCCTTCGCTCTTGTTATTATTTTTTGATATAAGGTCAAATCAGTAACTTTAGGCCGGGTGTGTTACTTAAGTCAAAGGCACCGCTGTCCTCGAACGGCTCCGGAGAGAATTCCTCCGGCGTCGAGTTCCTGCCGATGGCCCATAACCCCCACCGGCACGTCAAATCGCACGACCCGGCACGGTGTCCAGCACTCCCGTGGGATTAGCAGCGGCGCCGGACGCTGCAGTCGGAGTGCCTCCTTGATGACGAGCAGAAGGTAATGCAGACCGCTCAGGCTGCCCTCCGTGATGATCTCCTGCCCGGCCGGCGAGGACTCGCCAGACCTTGTCCTGCGCCTTGCACATTACTCTTGGGTTCCTTATGAGCTCCGCCATGGTCCACTAGAGCGTGGTTGCTGTGGTTGCCAAAGTCTCGCTGCTCCCTCCAAAATCCAAATATGTCGTGAATTATCTCTCATGATTTTCTGATTAAGAGCTGGAAATCATACGATGATGTTGACGGCCTTGATGTTCTCGCAGGTGAGGGGTGGATCCAGCAGTTCGTCTTCCCTCTGGGTCCTCAGCACTGTCAGCAGGACGTCGAGCAAGTCCTCGTCGGCGACGGCACCTCTACTGTCTTGGTGCTTCTGGATCATGGTGTCGATGGACGACGACATCATGTCCCTGAACTTTCTGCTGCTGATGCCACGCATGGACGCGTCGGCCACGTACGCCGAGTCGCCGAGACCATCTCGCTCAGGTTCACCTCCTATTGCTGCTGCTGCCCCGGCGAAGCCGCTCTGAGCGTAGTAGCCAGCGGACCTCCTCCTCGCGCACGGCCCTAAACGAGCCAACGCGGCGCACGCTGAGCAGCTCCGTGGTGTAGATCCTACGGTCTGCGAGCTGCCTCCACCCGTCGTCGTAGTGAGCGAACACGAGACGGGCCTGCCGGTGGGGCTAGTGGTAGCGCCCATGGCCTAGCGCGCGGCAGCAAAGGCGTCGCCGTCGGATGCGTGGCCGAGCGGAAGGCATGTCGCGGAGGGATCCAACCGAAAAAAGAAACGGACCAGGCCCGCTGGGCCAGCACGGGCCCAGTCCGAAAAAGCACGACACTGGCCTGGTGCGGCACGGCCTGCCTCGTGCCCGTGCCTGGCCTGGCCTGGCATTGTGCCCGTGCCTTGGCCGCCTCACCGGCCCATAGTGCCGGTCCGGGCACGGCACGGTTTTTTGGGTCGGCATGATGCGGCCTAGCTATTTCCAATCGTTGGATCGGATGAACAACATCCGTTGGATGAAACCCTAGGTATAAAAGCAATCCTCCAACGCCTCTGAGTTTCCCATCCTGATCCCGCCCCTTCCTCCGACACCCTCACACGCGCGGGACGCGGCTTCGCTCCAGGCCGCCGCTCCCTATTCCCCGTGCCTTCCCTCCCAGGCCGCCGCTCCCCGTTCTCCATTCCCTCCTGCAGCCTCTCCTCACGGCCTCCTTCACTGCAGTGGCTCCGGTGGCGGTGGCGAGACGCAGCAGCTCCAGCGGCCATGGCGCTGTACAACGGCGGCTCCTCTGCTCTCCTGGTCGACAGCGGAGTGGAAGACGACGGCGGCGCGAGGTCTGCAGCGGCGTGGCGTGGCGACGTCGCGGGGCGCATGGTGGCATGGCGCGACAACGGCATGGCGTGGCCTCGCTCGTCGAGCCAGGGCCGACACCGGCACTGGGGGCCGCCGTGCCCAGCAGCACGGCACGGCACGGTTCAAGGGCCATAGTGCCGTGCCTGGGCCACAACCTTGGCACGACCGCACTATCAGGCATGGCACGGCTGCGCCGCCGTGCCCCGTCGTGCTCGTGCCGTGCCGTGGCTGGACGTCCCGTTTGGCCATGTATACTTCTGCTTAGTCTGGGCACAACCTCAATTACCAATATACCCACTATAATATATCAATTACATTTTATAAATAAAATTTTCTCAATTATTTAGCTAGAAAATAGAAATACTGAAAGTACCAAGGTATTTTCCCGACCACCGTAAAAGAGCTCTAGAAATTTATTTATTTGGATTGGAGATGGAGGGAGTACCTTGGATTGCCACATGAGGCTGTAGGACGAGTGGAAGAGATGGACGCTATTGGATGGGAAGAGCCTCGTGTAGAAGGACCCTGGTAGCCCGGCAACGTAGCACGGAAGCTCCGGATCATCAGCCTCAGTCTCCGAGGCCAAGTTCTGCAAATTCTCTAGGGACCGGAAGACGAGGTTGAAGTCGTTGCCCGGCAGATCGTTGAGGAAGAATTGCACCGCCGCCATGCCGCCGTGGCGCCGGTCGTCGTCGTCCATCTCCTCTCGGCGGAGGCATTCTCGGAGTGTGCTCATCACCTCGGAGACGACGAGCAAGGCGTTAGGCCCCGTTGAGCAGCCGAGGTCAGCCACCACCATTATGCCCTGACCCTGAGGAGTGAGCGTCGACGTGTACAGATCTTGTATGGCCTTCTCAAGCATTGGCCTCGTCTTTATCAAGGCCTTCTCCTGCTCCACCGATTCGATTCATGAAATGGATCGAATAATTAACAAGTGCCATTACATTAGTTACTCCTTGTCCACTGAACTGCATGCAGTCGAAATGCATGAAAAAGGGGTACAAACCGGGAGCCTGGAGTTGGCGGCGTAGCTGTTCCCTCCGTCGCCGGTGGCCATGCGAAGCACTTTCTCTACCTTCATGGCAGGCAATAGATTCTCAGCTAGCGCCACAGTTTAGATACGCCCGATCAGTGCTTTTTTGGTTCTATATGCACGCTCACTGGGGATTCTTTTATAGAGAGGACATGTTATTAGCAACGTGTTTCATGCTTTCTCTCACAAACCATAAGCCGAACAACTCTCTCAACCTATAAACGTGCATACACAAACTGACAGTTCTGGAGAGGGCAGCATCTCTCAACGACCACCGTGTCATTGCTAGGCAGAATCTCTCAACAACAATCTTGCATATACATGATCCTCGTGCATCATGCTTCCAAGAGACTCCGATCCATTGAGCAGGCGGCGCGACGTTCTTCACGGGGCAGTCAGCGATTTTGTGGCCCGGCTGGCCACAACCGTAGCAAGTGAAGGGCGTGCTGCCTGTAGAGGTGGGCGCATCGGCCTTCCACGTGCCGGGGTTCTAAGCAGGGTGGCGCTGAGTAGGGTGGTGGTAGTTGGTGGTGTAGGTACCACCTCCACGGCTTGGAGCGGGTGCGGCTCCCTGGGCAGCACGAGGGTGAGGAAGCGAGGGCACATGAGCACGTGGCCTCTGAGGTGCCGAGGCGCACAGACCAGGCACCAGTAAGCTACTGAAAAGAACTAACAACTCAAAACTACTGAACTGAAATAACAAAGCAAGAGACAACGCTAACTTCCAGGGGACAAACAGCTTTTGACAAAGAAGACTACTACTCATTGATGATCGGTCTTGTTGCAAGCTGGTATTATTGTTGGATATCATCTTTGCATAGAAGAGCTACTCGGCATGGTTAAATGAAGCTTTAACACCTGACTATTTAAAGGACGCATCAGTTTGAACAAACAAGCTCTAAAAGGAATTATTGTGTTATAAAATTATTATTATAACCCACAAACGTGTTTTGTTCGGACTCAACAAGGGCCAAAATCAAATAAAAGGAAACTTACTCACCTTACTAGCTAGCCTCCAGCATGTCGACACCTAGCCAATTATATGTAAAGTAATATGGCACCAAAACTGATGCTAGTCTGACCTCCTATAATAAACAATGACGCACACAACAGTACAGAAGACTAACACATTATTTAATAATTCGGTCATGATGCAAATCACCACCATTAGAATCTCGATCTGATCTCCTGCATGCAGAGGAACACATGCTAAAATTACCGCTTCTCTGCAAAGCACTCCTTTAGGTCAATAATAATTCATATGATATCCACATGCATGGAGCCGATAAGCGTATATTTTCTTGGCTTCATATTTCATTCTTTGTTGAAAATTGTATCTTTAAAATTGATCATCGACAACACGCCAACAGCAGTAAATTTCTTCGTGTTTGTGATATATTTCTCATTAAAAATAACAATGCCAAATTTAAGACCAAAGGATATTAGAGAATTACTGGCTGCTATATTTTAAATATTGCTAGACAAATCTCCATAAACATCTTGAGAAGCTATGGACTCATCACCTTGACCGCTGATCTCTCTCTCTCTCATTCTACTACCGAGTTCAGCGTCACAAACTCTCCTTCGCCATCTACAGACCATTGATGGAACAATTGATGGAAGTTGGATTCTCCTTTGTGTCGTGTTGCTTGGATCTTTGCATCACTGGCATTTGCCTCAACCATGGCATATATAAATATGGTGTCATTCGGGAAGCCCATGCCCTATGCCAGGAAGCTCCAGCAACGTTGCACGTCGAGGCAAACACCAGCAGTCGCGTGCCTCGACCAAGACCTGCCGAGGGCTAACTTTCCTTTTTTTTTCTCCCACTTTCTCTTCTTATGTTTTGCTCATCTCACTCCATCGGTCCTTTTAGATCTGGCAAGTGTGGCAGCACGTGAAACGATCTCGATTTCCACCAAGAAAAATCCACATATTCGAACCATAATGTGATAGTCTCAGATGATCATCACATTATCGAATAACAGTCAATATCACAAGTCATACATCGAATACCTGTCCTATAGAGTACAAATAGCAAGGTTTACTCATTATTACATCGCCACTTGGCGGAATCACTCAGAGCACACAACATCTGGAACAGCATCAGGTAGAACGGTAGCGGGCGTAGACTTCATCTTCACGAACCAAACTCGAGTGTAGAACGAGACCTCTAATCCTCCCAACCATCTCCTTGGAAGTCGTACTCAGACTCGGAACCTGCCAAACAATTATCAGTACGATTTGTACTAGCCACTGGTTCCCACTTATGCTTTATGTTTGCTTTGTGGTAGTGGAATGCAAGGGTAGAGCAAAAGTCCTATTTGTGGCTGTAGTTTCCTATGCGAGTATCATCAAGTTTTAATAGTATTTCATCAAGTTTTAACCCTTCTCATCCACACATGTTTTCCCACCCATCACACATATCTCACCACACTCTCACTCTCTAGGCGGCAAGGACGACTCCTCTTGTACCTTGCCTTAATGGCTAACAGCCGAAGACCAACAAACCCGGGGAGAATAAGAAGGGACAACTCTCTCTAGTCAAGTGAAACAGTAACATAGGAAATGTTCATTATCGAAAAGACGACATATGTATCGATCGATCAACCATATACTCTGCAGAGGCTTACACTATCCAAAAGATCTTCCGTCATCGACGACCATCATCGTCTAGGCTGATTCCGGCTGCTTTATAGTATGGAATGATACCATCCTGCCACTCAACCCTGAGGCACCCCGGATTTCTCCGGAATGCTGAGACTTTGAAACATAAATACTGGGCCCCACAAGTGGTAATACACACCTAGAGGGGTTCAAGATTCAACATCCTCACCCCCACACTGTCAACTTACAACCTAGCAGTAATGGCAACACCTAGATTAGTCCACAACCGATTTCTCCCTAGAGAGGAGCGAATGGGGTGCAAGGATTCCTATGAACCGGTTCCTAGAACATATAAGTCCTTAGGGTGACCGAACAAGACATCTTCACAAAGGGGCTTCCGACACCCCGTGCTTCAATAGCACCTCTACTCCAGGGATTTGTCCCACAAAGACCACTCCTCCCCGGAGTCTATACCTCCTCAATCCGGTACCCGCCACACGTATAACTCTCAAGGAGCGCTCAGGTCACACTCCGGCAAGACTCACTCAATAGCTCGTCATAGAATCCTGCTTGGTCGACTCGACCCTCACCACACACCCAAGATGCACGCGAAGATCTCCCCAAGTTGTTATCACATTATTTCCATATTATCGGCACCAAGTGCCTTAGACACTCACAAACAATCCTCCACCAAGCATCACATCATAGATATAATGCATAGTAGAAGCAAGTAGTAAGTAGTAAGCGAGCATCTAGCCTAACAGAAGGTGTGCAAGGGTAATGGTTGCATCAAGGCAAATGCTTCAAGCAATTCTACCATGCAACCTCTCACAGTTCAATTGCTTAAAAATAGAGCACTAGTAGCTACATTATTACATGTCTAGTAGGATTCTATGAGGTTGGGTGGGATGTGACACCTGTAGTCTGGTCATCTCCTAACTCCTCTGTGTAGTCGTAGTCCTCCTCCTTAGGATTCTGCTCCTCCGGGGCTAGCAAACGAGACATATAGCCACGATAAGCGACTCCTAAGATGATCACAAAGAAGCAATAGAAATTCAAAAGATCCAAATGCACTCAAACACAAGCCTATGATGTAGAGCTTAATTTTAGAAAAAATTGGACACTAGTTTCATATTTTTCTGAGGTCGTATGAATTTACTATGAACTTCCCAAGTTTAAACCATTTTCTGAAAAAGAAAAAGGGGTCAATTAATCTGTTGATAACACGTGGCGCTTCCTGGTTGGCTCGTGGCTTAGCAGAGACTGACAGGTGGGACCAGCCAATGGTCAATGGTCCTAGGTCAATGGTCAACTCTTGACTGGGCTCGGACTGGGCCTGGTGGGCAAGACTTTGGGCCGGTTGGGCCGTGCCAGCCCGGACACGTGTCGGCTCTTCGTGCATCCACATGGCGGGTCTAGATCCATATGGGCTGTTTCCATGGGATGGGTGCACGGTGGACCGAGGTGGTCAGCGCACTGTGGACCTCCTCTGGTTTACGGTGGACCGACTCCAATCTCTTCCCCTCTTCTCTCTGGGTCACGGTGGATCAGGCTCACGGAATGGCAACCAAGGGAAAAGGGGGTGCTCTCCTCCTCACCGCGGTGGCTCGCCAACAGCAAAGCACGGCACGATGGGGCTTAGCGGAGCTTCTACGGCCTCCTAGGGTTTCCTCACGGCTAGGCGGATGCGGCAAGGGCACAAAGGCGAGGCCTTTTGTCTTGCCATGGTCGGCTACGGCGGCGGCGGGCAAGGCGGCATCGGCGGCGCTATGGCTCGTGCAATGGGAGATGAAAAGGGGCTCCTTTCCATGTGATTGGGGTCGTGGTGGGTCACAAAGGGCGACGCCACTGACCATCTCTCATGGCGGGGTCTGCTCAGCGGCAGAAGGGCACGGTGAAGCTCCGATGGGGCTCCAGTGATGGTGAACTAAGGTCTAGAGCGGCCTAGATGATCAACCAACTAGGTGGCTAGGTGTGTGGTGTCATGGCGAACATCATCGGCCTTTCCTCGTGTTGGCGGTCACTAACGACAGCATTCGACCGCCAATTATTATCCAAAATAGGAGAAATAAACAAACTTTTGAAACATATGCATATACTATTGACCTAATTCCACTTGTATTGGAGAAAATATGTTTTGCAGGTCACACATTCAAATACAGGTGGAAAATAAACAGAACCAAGCAAAAGGCGCAAAGAAGAAAGCGTAAAACAGAAATGCGCAAAGGAAATACATAAAGAAGCCCACCTACACAACTTACATGGGTAGAACACCACTGAGGACATGACCCAGGCCAAGCCAAGAGCCCACAGGAGCAAGGCGGTGGCGAGCAGGGCTAGCCAGGGTGCGGCCACACCTGGGGTGCGCCCGCACCCCCACCACCGCCTCTCGGGCCCACGCTCCTCCGACAGTTGCATGCCGCCATGCATAGGCAGTTTTG